AGTGGTATTGAATTTACGATGGCTTCTACTTCACATATCATAGTTCGGAAGGATTCATCATCCAAACGGTCACCGTGTTCTTGTAAAATACCATTGAGTGTTTTCCGAATCGTTCTGATCTCTCGTTCCCATACGCCGCCCATGTGACTTGATGCTGGTGGGTTAAAGATCCAATCTATTCCAATTTGTCGCAACTTTCTTTGTATCAAAGCTTGATCCATATCATTCAGAGATTTTAGTTAGTTCTTTGTTCGCTCCTACAAAATTGGTCCCGTTAACGTTGTCCCATTGCTCCATAACGTTTTAAGAATTTGCGACGATCTTTAATGAAGAACGCCCCAAAGTAATCGATACCAACATACGTGAAAGGTGGCGCAATATTGAGTCTCTCTGCTGGAAGGTCAGCCATTCTTTGCACATTGGGTGGAGCTCTCATACGTTGACAAGTAACACATTTGTATAGTTCATGACAAACTGCAGCATTCGCGCATACAATCCAGTACTTCTCGCGTGACCCAACTTTTGATGAATATAACGTATTAGCAAAGTGGTGACATGATTCTTGCGTGGGAGAATATAAGGATGTTTGGTTTCTTCTGCAATGTTTGCTCTTCTTAAACGACCACCAACTCGTAGAACATCTTGGTGAAGAAATGGACTTAATCGATAAATAGAACTAGTTCTTTTTATCTCAATCTTCTTTCGTCTCTCACACTGTCGTTTGTCTAGATCTGTGGAAATTTTTGCATCTTTGAGGACACGTATTTCTTTATTGAAAGCTTGGGCTTGAATACATCTTATTATAGCAATTTCTGCTTCTTCCAATTCTTGCACAATTATAGGTTGATTGAATTCCGTCTTCTTAGCGTTGTGTGTAAGTTGATCTTGTATCTCTTTGCGTTGTTGACTTCGTTTTAATAACATCGCTCGTAATCATAAGAACACTGCCACTGCTTTCTTCAACCGGTCCCAGTTTGAATAGAATTCTAAGAGTTTGTTGACAGTGGTAATTGAACTATTTATGGAAACAGCTGACGCATTAACGCACCTCTTGACTTCGGGATCTTTACTTCACACTGGATTTAGCACAAAGGGTTGTTCGGGCCAACAGTCTTCGATTTCCCACAGGAGTGATGGACCATTTAACCATTGACTTTGATTTAATAAGGTTTCTGCGTTCATACCCCTTGAAGCTTCATCCGCTGGATTATCTCTTGTTTCCACATACCGCCACTGTCCTGGGTCGGAGCACTCCTTGATTGCTTGAAAAAAACTGATATATGTGCAAAATAGAATTTTTTGTGCTTTAAATGAATATAAAATTTTTTTAAGTACCATAAACCTTTCTGTGATTGATTGAAAGCGGAAATATTTCTGAGTGCCGGTATTGTCTAAAACCTAAAAAAACAGGATTTCTAATCTATAGCAAGATACTGTCAAGCACAATATGGTTGGTGGGCCTTGATTTTTGTTCCTTTGTAGTACTTGTCACAAGTTGGACAAAAAAAGAAATCAAAGCACAGATGTGACGGGACGGTCCTTGATTCTATGTTGGTAAACTTCCTGAAGAAAAGTTAGGGATACCTCACCAAAGACTTCCTTGCACAATTTTGTGCTGTGATATTGTTCAATAGTTCCATTTTTTCGAACGAAACACAACAACGAGCAGACGCTATATGAGCAAATGTTGTGAAGGAGAGAGCAATGCTGGCAGCTCTTCGCCCGAGCCACTTTCACTGATGACATATTGCACATTTTCAGTTTTAGTATGCTTTTCACTATTAGTTTTCCCTTGATTTTTCAGCGCATATTTCCCAGGTTTTTTAAATTCTATCTTCAGGGGCGTTGAGGTAAACAAAATCCTTTTCATGTTTTCTCTTTGAACGCTCAATATTTCCTCAGCAATTGAACATATAGCAACTGAGAAGATCAGATTATTAGGAGCTGCTTCAGAGTTTTTGCATGGTCGTTCGCTAGGTGTATTGCTGCCAATATTTTCGCTAATCAAATAACTTTGTCTGGCTTGCATCAATAAGTCACTCCTGTAGGAATGTGGATGAGAGAGGCCGTCATTCATTGCTCTTATTGTACCTTTATGATAACGACTAAGGTGATTATCAAGGCATTTGAAGTACTTTCCATAAATATTTCCGTAATTTGAACGGCTTGAGATTCTACAAATACCATTTTTTCTCTAAAAAACATGTTGGCTATTTGGTTTACATCGAAATGCTAGTTAGACAAAAAAAATTTTCCAATTAATATTTTGTAATGTCCGACTTCGACCGAGCGATGCCAGAATTTTCAATAATCACCTTTGTAATTATACGAATACTGCATATAACTGAATCCTGAATTGCAATAAGGTTATAGATCTCACCTTTGCAGGGAAACATGACCGGTTCCTCCTCATCTGTGATTTGAAATATTCAGAATATATATTCAAAGTACCTAAATATTACAATTATATTCACGCGAAAGGTCATATAAGCTTGCCCCTGTGAGTCGTTCGCGATAGCGTACACACGCGATAAGCTCAAATATCAAATCAACATACATGCACTTTAAATTACATACTCCAAAGGCAAAGCGATATAAAAAACCAGAATGTTCTACGCAAAAAATTGAGGAGATTCGATCATTTGTAAATTTCACTTACTGTAATTAAAAATTCAATACGCTTATGACGCTTAGATTGATATAAAAGCAACTTCTCATTGACTAAAAACCACGCTGTCTACGCAAAGAAGCCATACGAGACGAACTGAAACACGATACTGGATTTTATCAACTATTGCAACCACAGGAAACAGTCAAAATATAACACAATTCAGATGCTTGGAGTGAACCTCGAAATTTGACACTCGTATGAATTCTAATATTAGGGTAACTTTTACTAACATGGTTCAAGAATGTTATAAACTATACCGATCTTGACAAACCTTACCCCAAAAAATGAAATTTGACACCTGTTTTATGAATTCTAATATTAGGGTAACTTTTACTAATATGCTACAAGAATATTATAAACTATATCGATCTTGACAAACCTTGCCCCAACAAATGAAATTTGACACCCGTTTTATGAATTCTAATATTAGGGTAACTTTCACTAACATGGTTCAAGACTATTATAAACTATATCGATCTTTCACTAACATGGTTCAAGACTATTATAAACTATCGATCATGGTTCAAGACTATTATAAACTATATCGACCAAGAGAAGTCGGTCAACAACCTGGTCAAGACGTTGAGGCACAAGGAAGAGAAGAAGAACCAGCAGAACATCAAGAAAGACAACGTAGATATCCACTAAGGATAAGACATAACCCTCTGTTCTATCGGGACGAGCAGAATGTATATTAAATAATAAGACAAGTAAACTATTATTGATATTTTGTAAAAGAGCACATTATTTAGATACTTGCTGATAATTATCGTTGAGTTATTGTTAGACGCGTTGATGAAACTATCATTTGAACTGAACGCGGATAGGGATATAATGTTTGCTTATATGAAGTAAATGTATATAGATCACGTGTTAACAAATAGATGAAGGAAGGAACACAATATTTTATTTTCAAGGAATTTCTAATCCAAGAATATTGAAATTATATTCAGTCAATTTAGCTGTATTTATTCAAAAATACTTTTTTTAAATGCAGGAAATGCAGTCTTTTTTCGAAGAAAGATATTCCTTAACAATGTGATATTCCTTAACCCAAAAATATGAAATTTAAGGAAATTTTACTAAATTTGAGGAATTTTTAACTGATAATCTAAGGAATTCCAGGCAATCGGAAATGAGAGCACTTGCTGTATGTAGGTATATCTAAAACATGGCATCAATGCATCATGGAAATTGACGAAATTCGCTCTTGCTTGGAAGGTAAATAATTTACATACACTGTATTTTGTTTAATTTATTTAATTAGTGAATGGCAGTGGCTACTGGAGTACAAATAGTCTAATCATATTATCATAATTCATACATAATTTTACATATATTAATATTAATATTATTCATTTATTCTTATTCATTCTGCTTGATAACATTTCAACATTTACATTTGCAGTAATATTGACTTTTGACAGTAATAGTATTGAGTAATGTAGTCCAGTACTGCAGTGTGTAAATTGTAATGCTGTTGTCATTAATCAGTGCTTACACAAAACATTAACAGATATATGTAGTATCTATTCTATTCATTGACTATTGGAATATATTTTTGTTTATTTTTCTTCATTTATGAAGATGTCTCTGATCAGTATGATGTTGAGAACATTCACATCACTCAGTTGGACATAGATGATCGAAATGTTGCAACTACAGCTTCTAAAAGTCCCGATGACAAGAGAATAAAGCGAGGTCACCCAGTACACAATGTATGGAGCTATGCATTTGAAGACCCTAATGCACACTCTTCAAGTAAGCCAAATCATGCTGTTTGCAAACACTGCAAAGAATTGGTTAGACGTCACCATAAAGTTTTGTCTGTCAAAACACATCTGAAAAGATGCAAAAAATTCAAGAAACTTATGTTAGACACAGCTGTTGTTGACCGTCCAGGATGGTGGAATGACCCTGCCAGCAAGAATAAGAAGTCAAATGCTTTTAAGTCCTCTACAAGCAATTCAAGCAAATCCTCACAAGGAACACAACCTTCCGCAAGATCATTTGCAGTTCCAATGTTCACCACCTCACAACAAAAGAAGTTCAACCGAGATATTGCAATGTTTTTCTACAACACAGGCACAAGTTTTCAACACATTGAAGATCCATTTCTGGCATCAGCTGTTCAACTGGCACGTCCTGGAGTAAAATTGCCGACCAGGAAGGAACTAGCAGATGACAGTCCTGGTGGACTACTTCAACAATCCTATGAAGAGGTCAAAGATAAAGTTGATAAATTGCTGTCCAACCCCAATCAGTATCACCAATTGGTATCACCACTGATGCCTGGTCAAACATCTCAAATGAGCCAGTTATCAACTACATGGTTGTCTGTCCCACTAAATCACTGTTCATCGAATCAGTTTACACAGGAGAGCAAGGTCATGATGCGGAATGGTTGGCCCAAGATCTCAGCCGTGTTATAGATCATCTTGGAGATAATGTAGCTGGTGCAGTGACAGACAATATATCAGCAAACAAGAAAATGTGGGGTATCTTAGAACAAAAGTATCCTACACATTTTTTCCATGGTTGTGTTGCTCATGGGCTTAATCTTCTCGTCAAAGATATCTTCTGTGCCAAAAAGAAAGTACCACCTGGTGGTGGCCCAGCTGCATACCCAGATGGTTATCCTTTTGAAGATCTCATGGTGTTTGCTAATGATTGCAAAGAAGTGGTCATGTTTTTTCACAACCATCATGGGGTGAAGGCAAGATTGAAAAAGGCATTAGCTTCAGCAAAGTTGTCAAGTCTGGTAAAGCCAGCCCCAACTCGATGGGGTACCATACATGGTTGTTTCAAATTGCTGAAAGCAGCTGATGATATTCTCAATTCTCTGGTATCTGAAAGAGATTTTGTGAACAAAGGGAGTGCCAAACAAAAGGACAAACGTCTGGAGATCAAAGCAATTGTTACGGATCCAGATTTTGTCAAAAACCTAGATGAAAGTATCAAGATTCTTCAGCCAATTGACAAGTTAATAAAGTTATTCCAAAGTGATGCAGTCCCCTGTTCCGATGCTTACCATGCCTTTCTTGAGTTGGAGAAACTGATGCAGGAGCTCACTATCGAGGAGAGAAAGAAAGCCTACCTAGTTAAACTTGTCCGTGACAGGTTTGATTTCATGTATGGAGATGCCCATGGCATTGCCTACTTGTTGGATCCAAGATATCTTGGGGATGGAATGTCGCGCACATTGAGAAGAGAAGTTGAAGATTTCATCTATGGATATCCAACTAAAGATGGTACTACCAACAACACCAGAAAGGAGCAGATGGCCCAGGAGTATACTGCTTTTCGGATAGAGGCTCTTGAGGAAAAACAGCGACAGTCATTTCGCTTCAAATTAATTGGACAGTCCAAGTCAGTTCTCCAGTGGTGGATTGCTGATGGCATTGACTGGCCTTTACTGCAGGACCTGGCAAAGCGAGTTTTTTCATTACCAGCTTCATCAACTGCATCTGAACGAAACTTTTCCACATTCTCATTTGTTCACTCAAAACTCCGAAACCGTCTTGATAAAGAGAAAGTTCTAAAACTTGTTTACATCAAAACAAACACAATGCAAATAGATGGCAATGTTAGTGTTATGAGTGATGATGATTCTGACATGAGCACAGATGAAGAATAGAACAAGGAGCGATGAAATTAGGAACATAAGATGGAACTGAACAGTAATGCGCTTTTGTCAGGCATTTGCAACATTTGTATTATTGTCATTGAGATTTGCAGTTGATTACTTTTGTTAATACTGTACATATTTACCTACCTGTAAGGGGTTGTGGCAACTCGCCGCAACTATAAGTGTACTGTACATGTGTACCTAGTGATTTAATCTTTCTCTGATTGCATTTAACAATGCACAGACAAGAAATGTACCATACCATAAGCCATAAATTCATGGTTTGCTACCAGACTTGATATTCAAATTTGTCCAAAATTTGTTACTATGGATAGTTAAAGTGCCTATATCACTTGTGGGATCTTTACGGATTTGAATAGAGCTTGAAAAATTAGTTTATAAGTTCTACAACCTTTTTAGTGCAAAGTTTGAGAAACTTTGCAGTATTGTGATGAGTGGCGAAAATTCAAACGAGTCAGTAAGTCAGTCAGACAGTCAGTCAGTCAGTCAGTCAGTCAGTCAGTCAGTCAGTCAGTCAGTCATAGTGTAAACTTTACGGGGGGTAGGTTGATTTATGCGTGTAGTAACTTTTTGTACATGATCAGTAATTTAAGGTTTTTAAATCAGTTTAACTTGCTTTATTTATTAATGCACTATGTCCCTTTTGCAAAGTTCACCAAAATATTGAGGAATTTTGGCGGTTACTGTCAATTTTGAAGCATTGCTTTTCCGCGGTTTGTGTTTTGTTTTAAAGGGATTTGCGCAGAATTACCCCCCGGAACACCCGATTCTTCCTCACACCTCGCAACTGCGCATGTGCCGTCGAGACTTGAACATTATTCACGATGTAAAGAAACGAGGAGCGACGAACATTGCTTCGAAACATTCCGGGCGTAAAAATCGAGCAATTCTTTGAGAATCTACGCAATTTATCAACTTATGTTATGAATTACGAGCATTCAATTCAACACAAATATAATTTAGAAGGTTTATTCCATAAATAGAGCTAAGAGGTTAGGAAGAAACGACGCTGTGTTGTTTATGTATTTATAGACTCCTACACATGTATATTAAATTGTCGATAGCAAGTCGATACCTGGTATTCTGCATACAGTACAAAATGATATTATTCAAAACGGACATTTTGTGCAGTATTCAAACCATTTTGGCGGTATACAGTATTGATTATAAGTATATTGTTTTGTATCGATTTATACGCGTCGAAGTATCGACATCATAGACATAATATGCACCGCGGTTTATTTACATTATTTACAACGCAACTATTTTGGCTATTCTCATGAAGTGACGGATAAATTGTAGCCATCATATAAATGTAGTGAATGTAGTCACAGTTGTTTGACGAAGAAAAGAGACTAAAGTGAGAAAATCGCGCCCGGTTAGGCCGGTTTACACGGGCAACTAAAATTATAATTTAATAGCCACAGTATCCGGCGCTATCCGCGGCTAACGTAATTTGAGTACTTTGAGTAATTTCCTTTTGATTAATGTTTAACCTAGTTCATTATATTTTTACTGGCATAAGTCAAAACGTTTATGTTGGGACGAACGTCTGGTTGCTTAGGTAATATAGGGCATGAAAACTTTGCACAATCCTTGGATCCCTAGTTTGATATAATTAAATAGTTTCGAAAATACCTCGGTTGGGGGGACTGGAACTCAGGAATGATTTGCAAACACGCCGTCTTTTATAATGTAAACATGAAGAGTTTCACTGGCGATATAGTTTGCGCTTTTCAAGAAAAAAAATCGGGAACGGTGCGTTGTGTATGGCTGTAGCAACTGGGCGAGTTTTTCTCAAAATATTTTACGTTATTGGAAGATCGAAGTAAAATTCCAATTGATTATATTATGTTTGACAAGAACTCGGTTCCTGAGTCCCAGGCCCCCGAGAACGACGGAAATTTAGGAAATCGTCATGTTTAGATGTAAATATTTCCGAAACTATTTAACTATATCAAAAAAGGTTTTAGAACTTATAAACTAATTTTTCAAGCTCTATTCAAATCCGTAAAGATCCCACAAGTGATATAGGCACTTTAAATCTGAATTTATGAATACAATAAAAATCTTTTATCTTCTTATTTTCCAATTTTGTAAGTACACTAGGCCAAGCTGTCAATAAATATAGAAGATTTGTTTGCAACTTATAACAAATTATAACAAGTTGTATAATCTCCATCAGATTTCTATTCATTTTACAAAATTTAATGAAAAAATACTTTTTCAGTGTAGGTTTCTTCCTGTTGTTGCCAATAGACAGTTTATCTGCATGGTGCATTGTAAATTTATTAAAGGACAGACATATACCACTCAAAATATCAAGAGTGAAGAGTGATCAGGAATTCAAAGATTATGAAGACTTGGAATTGGATGAAGAAAGCTCATAACTTTATTTACATGTATTTACAATAAAATGGCTCCAAAGCTTGTTGTTTCAAAGACAATTAATAACACTTTTGTGTCCTTTCATAGGACTTTTGCATCTGAAATTATTAATTATTGTCAATTATAACTCTCATTGATTACATCATAAAATTAACTGATTAGTTTTATCGTATATTCCCTGTGGGTTACCTGGGTTTGTTGGTGAAATATTAAACTAAAAGTTTTAAACAGAATGTTTTTCATGGTAGTTTTTAGTACCACACCAGCAACATATGAAACTGAAAATAAATTAATGTTGTAGATTAACAGTATGCATTCTACGCACCTGCAAAACATTCCTTTTTTAAGTGTAGCTAATTATCTTGGAGGAGAATTGAGCTTTGAGCTCCAAGCAACTTGTTTGCTCCTTCAACCTTTTGTTTTTAAGTGAAGAGCACATTTTTTCATATGCATTAGCAATGGAATCTGCAAATGTTTAAAATAGTTTACCAATTGAACTGCACAATGTGCACAATTGCACACTATTTTTTACTTGTCTAATGCCAGACTTCACTCATCAATCTTGAAGCTATATGGCTTAATGGGAAGGATACTCATAGGTAAAAAAGTGCTGTTGTGACTGGCTAGCGTACATGCCTACATGGTGTTATAGCATGTACACGATAATATGTTTTGTATGTATGTTAGCTATCTTTGTCTAACCATTTTTGTGGTTGAATGATATCCACATGTGCACATTTGTTGAACAAAGGATTTTCTAACTCTTCATGCTTGACAAGGCTTAATTCCCAACAGTTTCTGTAATCTATAAACAACAATAGCTAGAATAAAATTATATCCATATGAACTCCTTTACTACAAAAAAAGATCTATTGAAAATTTGTTTTTCTAAGTGAGCGCATGCAGTGTAAAAATGTGATCACACCAACAGCCATACCATTTCTTCTCTTATAAGGGAGATTTTGTTGGCTCGCATGTAATTACAGGTGTGATACTGATACACGAGATAGGCCATCAACCGGTTTGAACATATAGACGTGACATAAATCTTATACATCAATATAAATATATAAAAGTTAACAACAGTATAAAGTTTGACCCAAAATTAAATATTCTAATGTGTTTCATATGCACTGATGATGAATATTGTGAAATTAACATAAGGTGTTGCTTACCCTCCTTTGGTCTGGTGCGCTCTGAAACCGCGTCGCCCGAGAGTTGATTTGTTTCTACTGTAGAAAAGACGCAAATTCCATGCCTAACTATTTAAGTTTGGGAGTCTTTTACTTTTCCACGCTTTCTGAGCCATATTCAAAACATTCCTGAATTCTCAGTGAAATGCTCTGAGCACACAACCAACTTTTTTTGAGAAAATTGAGAATTTCGTATGTTTCAGCCGCTATATCTCAAAAAGTAGAAGTTTAAACCAAAATCTAATCTAGAACTTCTATTGTAACTTTTTACGCTCTATCCGAATCACCAAAAACCCATTTTGGGTTTATAGGCACTTTAATCCAAGAAAAGCAATACGTCCAACTTATTAAACAAGTGACAAAAGACTATAAAACACAAATTATCACATATACACTAATATCCCTGAAAGAGTAAAAAGCAGTGGAGTTTTAGAATCGTACCCTAGTGACCATAAGCCTATTTTCCTCTCACTAATTTGATATTTAAGTTACTATAATAAAAACGAATGGTTAATAATAAAAAAAAGATAAAATTTCTGTTCACTATGGTAATATAGTCAAAATGTAAAAAGTTGTTCTTCACAACAAAGGTATAGAATGTCCAGAATGAGTCAAAAACTAAAAAAGTTATTGTTCAAAGCAAAGGTAAAATGTCCAAAACACTGGATACAGGACTAGAAGATCCTTCCTCTAAGTTTGAGTGCCTCTACTTCTTAGGAACAGAAGAAGATATCCCCGTGATGACCTCAAGTCTGTGAGGAGGTAAGTTTTTTTTTAATCTGATTTTGTAAATTCTTATATATTTTTTCATTATTTCAGTGACATGGTCATCCATCGTACTTAGTAAAGATCAACGTTTCATTCAACACTATAAAAGGAAGCTGCCTAAGAGAATGAAAGCAATAACTAAGGTACTGGAACATATTATTATGTTAAGTTTGTGATCACATCTAACTATTTAAGAAAAGTTTTCCTGCCGCTGTTCAAATTCCTGTATTGCGTTTATTCAAAGTAAACTATGTCTGAAGTGGTCATTTTTTTTTCCAGACAAAATCACACAAATCCAAGAACAAAACTACAATATTGCATCCTCAGGTCTAAATGATAAAATTTGGATTTTATCAACTATTAGCCAGAACGAAGATCCATAAGTTTAATAACTACACACTATGTCTACTCCTGGAACACACCTATCAATTGTAAATTGTCAGTTATCGTGATACAATGAAGTCACATGAAAACTACTGAAGTACAATCAATTAAATTGTAAAGAACGAATTCCATGCAGAGTGAAAGATACCTAACAAGAACGCACAGTTTAAACATAAAAGCCACAAGGAATTAATGCCAGTGACACCAAAAGAAATTTTACAACTATTATTAAATACTGGTGAACTGTCAATTTCT